TGTTAGTCTAGGAAGTTAGATGCTCTGTTAATTAGTAGATGTTTTGGAGGAAGGAAAGGAAGCTGAAAACTTAACCTTTTTACTCGATAGATCAGCTTTAAGGATCATTTCTCCTATGAAGTACGAAGCTCCATCAATGTCCACTCAGCATTATTCTTTCAAGGGACCAATGAATGACCAAGCCAAAGTGTGGAGGTTAATTCTTTGAAAGTGCTTCACTATCTGGGTTCATTTTTCTTCCTTGTGAGTACTAAAGCAAAAAGAAAATTAGTTTGTTATATATCAATAGGTTTGACAGTAATACCACTAGTTTATTTTGGAAAGGCAAAACAATCTATTGTGGTATTTGTTGCAAAAGTAATTTATTGTCTCAAATCACCCGACTGCCTTCAAGGTGACACAGAGACACTCTTAAAAGGCCTGGGGATGGGGGGATTTATTTATCAGGACTTTGGAGATAGTGTACCAGGAATTTACTTTTGGGTATATTGTCCATAAAGCTTCTTGAGGCTTTAACAAGAACATGAATCACTTGGAAGGAGCTATTATCGGAGTTCTAATATTAAAAGGAATGCAACCCTTTTACAAGTATCTGGGTTGTGAACAAGATATGTTCTACTGAGCTTCTGAAGAAAAATTGTTGAGGGAAAAATAGGTGGTAAGTTGCCTACATATCAAAGCTATAGCTGAATCAACATGTTATAGGCATCCAAAATTTGTTGAAGTCTAATTTCTATCTTCAACCCAAGGTGACATTTGCTCACATTGTTTAGGACATAGTTTGTGGATGCATAAACGAGCCAACAGTGTGTGGCAGCAGTCAAAAAAAGTCAATGCAGTTCTAGGCTGCATTAATAAAGGGATAGAATCAAGATCATGTGAAGTTCTAGTACAACTTTACAAAGTCTTAATAAGACCACACTTGGAATACTGCATCCAGTTCTGGTCATGATAATATAAAAAAGATGTTGAGACTCTAGAGAGAGTGCAGAGAAGAGCAATAAGGATGATTAGGGGACTGGCGGCTAAAATACACGAAGAACTTGGGTATAGGACTTGGGTATGTCTAATTTAGTGAAAAGAAGGACTAGGGGTGACATGATAGCAGTGCTCCAATATTTGAGGGGCTCCTACAAAGATGAGGGGGTCAAACTATTTTCCAAAGGACCAAAAGAAAAGACAATGGATGGAAACTAACCAAGGAGAGAAGCAACCTAGAACTAAGGAGAAATTTCCTAATGGTGAGAGCAATCAACCAATGGAATAGCTTTCCTTCAGATGTTGTGGCCGCTCCATTACTGGAGCAGCCACAACAAAAAGAGACTGGACAACCATTTGTCTGATATGGTAGGTGTCCTGCTTGAGCAGTGGATTGGATCAGAAGACCTCCAAGATTATTTTCAATTCTATTATTCTATGTTCTATAAACTAGTCATATTACTGAAAATAAATAGGATAGTCATTACATGGGGTTAAAAAAAAAATCTAGAAATTTCATGTACCCACCTTGATTTCCATGGTGGATGAGAGATGAAGTGTACTTAAATATTAGCTAAATACAGCTAAACCATATCTGATTTATTCAAAGACTGATTATGTACTAGATATTACACAGCATTCATGGTCCCTTCACTAATGAAAATGGAAAGGCAACATAGTTGTTGTTAGTTGCGAAGTTGTGTCTGACCCATCACAACCTCATGGACAACCCTAACCTTCCTGTCCTCTACCATCCTCTGGAGTCCATTTAAGCTCATGCCTACTGCTTCAGTGACTCCATCCAGCCACCTCGTTCTCTGTTGTCCCTTTCTTCTTTTGCCCTCAATTGTTCCCAGCATTAGGCTCTTCTCCAGTGAGTCCTTCCTTCTCATTAGGTGGCCAAAGTATTTGAGTTTCATCTTCAGGATCTGGCCTTCTAAAGAGCAGTCAGGGTTGATCTCCTCTAAGTCTGACCGGTTTGATTGCCTTGCAGTCCAAGGGACTCGCAGGAGTCTCCTCCAGCACCATTGTTCAAAGGCCTCAACATAGTAGTGCTCATAATAAACTGTCATGGCATCAAAACATAGCAAGATGTGTTATGAGTCACATCAATTAGGGATTATTATCTAGTGGGACCATGAAAAAGGGCTTTCTCAGTGTAGCTCCTACTTTATGGAACATCATGAGCTGTGATGTCACAGTGGTCAGAATGCAGTATTGCAGGAAAACTCTAGACTTTAATCCTGACCAACTCAAGGCTGACTCAAATTTCCATCCTTCCGAGGTTGGTAAAATGAGGACCCAGATTGTTGGGGGAAATATGCTGACTCTGTAAACCACTTAGAGACAGCTGTAAAGCACTATGGAGCAGTATATAAGTCTAAGTGCTATTGCTATCATTCCCTTTCCTGAGATACAATAGCTCCCCCCCCCTGCAACTTTATGAAAGATCCTAAAAATATGGTTTTATCAGCAGGCCTGGGGACCACAAATGGAGATGGAGACAATCAATTAATTTGATTGGGTTGTTGCTGCCACGGGGATGAGAGGTGGGGTTCTTTATGGGTTTTTATTATCTAATGGATTTTTAAAAACTTTGTAAACAGCCTGCAAGTCACCTATGGAGTTTGGTGGCTACATAAATTAGTTTAATAAACAAATAATAAAATGAATCAATAAAAGGATTTGCACAATAATGCCATGACACAAACACCACCTTTATGGGCTTGTATCATATCTGATGGAAGGGTGCAAGTTGTACCATCCTTGCTCTATTCGTGCAGGCCCAGTGCCCAACCTTGGAGGTTTTTCAGAGAAAGAGCAATGAGGACATCCTCAAGAACTCCAGCCAAAGTGATGGAGCCGCCTTGCTTTGATAAGTATATGGCATGAAATTCATGCCTGGAGCTCTAGAACAGGAGCATTCAACTTCTGTTGGCTCGAGAAACATACCAGCTTTGCTTTCAGTTAATGCAATTTCTTCTTTGAAGGATTTTGTGCCGCAAACCGCTCCGTTGTGCTCTATGAGAGGCATTCAACCCTTCTTCCGATGCCGAAGATGATGTTGAAAAGGCAAGCAGGGTTTTCAGCTTGTGACAGAGAGATCAAGAGATCACTCTGGGGTTTGTTTGGAGTTTTTTTTTTGGAGAAAATTCTTTTAAAGTAATGCCAAAATAGTTCATTTATGTCTGATAATGAAATGGCATACTGTACATATTTTATGCTTACATCAAGTAAGGCTCTTGCTCTCCAAGCCTTGTCCTCTGCAATTGTTGTTTACAGATTATCCGGTGAGCTCCAAGAATTCTTCAACTGCTCATAATCTGTTTTGAGTCCTGCTGCTTATTTTGGCAGCATAACCATTAAGCACAGTTAGACATAAAAGCTCACAATATGGTGTGTTGGTATCAATTCTTGTTTAACAACTCACATGCCTTGTTTTCCACAAGCTGTTCCACTGGAAATGCTGCTCTTTTGATGAGCGTATTTTATTTTTAATTTAAATATTTATTTGCCACTCTAGAACCCTATCTCAGAGCCGTATTTATTGGAGTTACCAGAAAAAATTGCTTTTTTTTTTTAAGCTACAGGCAAAGTTTAGAGGGGGCAGGAGGGGGCATGTGTAAAGGCAACAGCATTAATAATTGAATACCATCCCTGAATAATTCAGCACCGCCACATGAATAATTCAATTCTGAAAAGGAAGTACTCATCAGAAGGTCTGGGAGGACTTTTTATGGTTCTTCCCCAAGTTTATTTGAAGATAAAAAGGCATGAGACCGGTTTATTCAAGCCATTGTATCAGATTTGAATGCATTGATATATCCCATGTTTATAAATGCAGCATTTCTGGGGTTGACTGGGCCACATGGTCTAGAAACTAGAATATTAGGTAAAGGTAAAGGTTCCCCTCGCACATATGTGCTAGTCGTTCCCAATTCTAGGGGGTGGTGCTCATCTCTCTTTCAAATCCAAACGGCCAGCACTGTCTGAAGACATCTCCGTGGTCATGAGGCTGGCATGACTAAATGCCAAAGGCGCATGGAGCATCGTTACCTTCCCACCAAAGGTGGTCCCTATTTTTCTACTTGCATTTTTTACGTGGTTTCGAACTGCTAGGTTGGCAGAAGCTGGGACAAGGAATGGGAGCTCACCCTGTTACACAGCACTAGGGGTTTGAACCGCTGAACTGCCGACCTTTCGATCGACAAGCTCAGTGTCTTAGCCACTGAGCCACCGCGTCCCTTTGCAGCATTTCTGGGGTTGAATGGGCCACAGGGTCTGGAAACTAGAATATTAGAACTGTCATTACTCAAGTGACAGATTGGTATCTGTATTGCCTGGCTCAGTTGGTGGCATTGATTTCACTATGTAGATGTATGCAGATGCAACACATAATTGCAAGGTCAGCTCAAGATCATATTTGCCAATTGGTTTGTTGACTCAGCTAGCAATGACCTGTTGATTAGGAATTGAAGATGTATAAGGATGAAGTGCCTCAGGTGTCAACACTTGGCTGACCTTGTCTGACTTAAGAGAAGAAGGAACAGACCTGATTATTACTTAGATGAGAAGCCTTGGGCTGGGAAGTTGATAAATATCTCAGAAGAAGGGACAGCAAATCATTTCTGGTGCCAAGAAAAAGGCATGAATGTGTCTATGAAGTTGGTAAGGAGTCAAGCTCAACTTGATAAGCATCCTTCCAACAACATTGCTCCACACTCATATTGCACGTGCAAGCACACACACAAACACACAAACATACGTGTGTGAGAGAGAGATAGAGAGAAAGTGATTTCCAACAGCTGTCTTGTGTTAAGAAGACCCTTCATAAAAAGCTTCTGAACACTGCTTTGCTTAGAGATGAATCCCTTCAAATAGAACAGTAACAGTACAATTAGTGGAATTCTTTCCTTTCAGATGTGATTATTGCCACCAATCCGGATAATCTAAAAAAGGGTTTGGACAAGTGCATGGAGGACTGGACTAACTATGCCAGCTGGAGCGGATAGCAGCTTATTATGTCTGACACCATAGAAATCAGGTCTGAAATACCAGCTAATAGGGAGCAGTAAAAAAAAATTAGGACCATCACCCTTCTGTTCCTAGGGAATGGCTGAGTGACAGGAATAAGAGGCACTATTAGTTCCGATAAGTGGGATTGAACCAGGGCCAAGAAAATAATTTGAAAAACAGTCCTAGAGAAACCTCTCGCTAGTTCACATGGAAATAAAATGAGGGAGGGGAAAACACATTCAAACTTGCAAGAGTCTGTTACTATAACTTTACAATAACAGTAGCACTGACCTACATGACACTAGTTTCTTAGTCTAATCTACCTTGCAAGGTTTACATGGGCCCTTAAGAAGAAGAAATCTGTTGGTTGCTTTAATTTCTTGTTTCAAAAGCTTTGCACAAGATGGATGGGCTGCTTTAATTATCCAGGCCCACCACCTTCATTTCATTCAGAGAGAGCCGGTTTGATATAGTAATAAAGGTGCTGGTCTAGAAAGCAGGAGACCATGAGTTCTAGTCCCACGTTAGGCATGAAAGCCATTGGGTAATTTTGAGGCAGTCACTCTCTCAGCGCAACTCACCTCACCGATTTGTTGTTGTGGAAAAAAGAGGAGGAGGAAAGAGTATTAGGTATGTTTACCACCTTGAATTACTTACATAAGTAATAAAAACAGGATAAAAATATCTAATAAATAAATATATTTCCAAGAGCATTGCGGTCTATGAACTGGAATTCTACAGAGGAAAAGAGAAGAGAAAGGAAAGGAAAATGAAGAAAAGGCTTATTACAACTGCTGCTCCCAATTTACACAATAAGCAGGGGTGAAACAGGGACTTGGGGTGAGTGGGGGGATTCACTTAAGTTCCCTCTAAAGCAATGCAGAGCAATATCAGACAAAGCAACAATTGACAAGCAGTAGAGAAAAAGGCAATGGTGATATGCGTTACCCAACATTGTACAACCAATTGTTTGAAAGTTTTACTTCCTGAAAAACTTTTGGTGATTATGATAAACCCCTTCAAACAGAACACAAATAGAATTTCAGAATGACTGTACCACATAGGAATCTTGAGAAATGTAAAATTAACTTTTAATGGCTATAATATATTTAATCTCATAATGATGCAAGAGATCAACAGAGCCAAAAATGTTTCGTTGCTGATTTTCATTTGTACTCAGTGTCCGATGTGTCTTACTTCAGTGTCCAACAATAGTTATCCTGCAATGATGGATTCCAGTTGCTCTGATGCCAATTTTCCATTGTGACAATGTCCTGGTGAAAACTTTCATCATGTTCATCACTGACTGTGTCTAGATTTTCAGGAAGGAAATCCAAGTGTAATTGCCGAAAATAACTCTTCAGGGATATGTTGCACTTCATGGTCTTGAATGCTGTGAGTAGTTTGTCAGCCAGCTGCATATAGTTTGGAGCTTCGTGGTTGCCAAGAAAATTCTCAACCATGTCTTTGAATGCTTTCCATTCTTCTCTGGCCCCTCTAACAGATCTTCAAACTGCTTGTTATTGATGATGTATCTGATCTGTGGACCAACACAAATGCCTTCCTTAATGTTGGCATGAGTTATTCTTGTAAACATCGGTCTCAAATAATGAAAATCATCACCATCCTTGTTCATCGCTTTCACAAACATTTTCATCAGTCATCATTTTTCACCACTTTCATGTGAAGTGGACGCAAAAGTATCTTTCTTAGGTCAACAAGTGATTTGTGTACCATTTTGCTGTCCTTGAACCAAATTCTTTCAGAATGGTCATTTCTTTTTAATGTAATTATATTCTCTTGCATATGTTGTCCATTTGCACATATAACAATAGTACTGGGTATATCAGAGCCACATTCCAAGCAACACAACTACTACTTTTAGATTTGCACAAATGTTCCAGTTGTACTTTGTGTACTGGATGTGCTCCAGCAACAGTTTCATGTTTTCATATGTTTCTTTCATATGTGCAGCATAGCCAACAGGTATCTAATGGTTTGCATTGCCATTGTGTAGAAACAGAAGATTTCTACAAAATGTGATAGGTTATTAGCATCCAAAAATCTATAAAACACTTCCAAAAGTGTTCAGGAAGCAAAATCTTTGTTGTCCAAAGCATATGCCTAATGTGATGCTGTTTTTAGACGTTATATCTTTTTCTTCCAAAAAGTAATTTGCATTTTTTTTCAACATATCCTCCTCCTCTTGCTTTTTAATTGAAATAGCCACAGCACACTCATTAAGACAGCCATTACTACTTTTGCTTTGTATTTTCTTTTAATTTAAATTGGAGGACAATTGGGAGATGTATGATAGTTTTAGTTGAATCACTTTTCTTACTGGAAAAAATGCCCTCCCTCAAAAATCACTCATGGGCAGGATGTTCACCTCCACAAGGTGTAATAAGTCATTGCCACCTGTCTAAGGATCTGGATGTTCTTTTGGCTTTGAAATCCCTTAATTTCACTTGAAAGGGCCAATATTACTATACGTGGGAATATAAATGCAACTTTTGATATATTTATGGGAAGTTTTAAAAAGCTCTGAAGGGGATTTGAAGCTGACCTGAGTACTTCGATTTTCATTTAAGTGGAGACTTTAATGAAGTGAAGTAAGAGCAAGAACTGTGTATTTAATCCAACCATTTCTTCCTCCTTATTTTTAACCAGCACATAAAGTGAAACAAGTCGAGGGAAATGGGATTCCAGTGAATTGATGTACAGAACTGATGATGCAGGTTAGTTTAGATAGTTCGCCACTTACAATCATTCATTTAGCAACTGTTTGGAGTTACAACAGCATTGAAAAAAGTCATTTACAACCAGTCCTCGTATTTCTGACCATCATAGCCTCCCCACAGTTGCGGGATCAAAATTAGGATGTTTGGCAACTGGTAAGGATTTATGACAATTGCAGTTGACCAGGGACATTTGATCCCCATTTGCAACCTTCCCAGTTGGCTTTTGACAAGCAAAGTCACTGGAAGAGGTCGGATTCATTTAATGAGCGCATGATTCACTTAACAACTGTAGGTAATTGCTTAATAGCCATGGCAAAAAATGGTATTAAAATCAGGAATGATTCACTTAACGACCATCTTGCTTAGCAATGGAAATTTCTGCTTCCAATTGGGGTCATTCATTGAGGATTCATTGCTGCTTCCTTATGGAGGAATTCGCATTCATCGATCATACTGAGGAAGCAGACGTCCGGGTGTAGCTGTAGATTCAAGCGTTGAGGGCCAAGAGTGTGAATTTCAAGTCTAGATGGAGCCTTTGTGCTGCCAAAATTAAGTCCTGGGATCTTGCTCAATGATTTATTTTCATTTCGTTTTGAAGAAGAGCTTCCCCTATAGCAACAGTGACTTAGCAGCTTTTTCAAACATATTTTATTCTGGGATTAATGAACATGGTGGCATTGTAGCATTGGATCACTTTCTGGCCTTAGGGGAAAGCTGGGGAGCCAGGCTTCATACCTGCAAATCAGTAACTAATGAATGAATTCCCATCCTCAAGAGTTCCTTGAAGAGAATGCAGCATCTCAGGAATTGGGCACCCACGTCATTCTTTGAGTTTTTGACATATTGCTCTTCGGCAAACGGGCAATCAGTTTAGTTCAGAATCTGAGAAGATTAAAAATAAGACTCCTTGTTCTGATGCAGATACAGAAATCCAAATGACCTTTAGATCAGTGGTCATCAACTGGTGGTCCATGGACCACTGGTGGTCCGCAAGGAAATTTTGGTGGTCCGCAGAAAAATTATTTGCATTTTTTATATTGCACTAAATCAGGGGTCCTCAAACTACGGCCCCTGGGATGGATATGTGCAATGAATATTTGTGTTGCTGCAGAGAGTCTGCACAAAAAGGGTCTTTTTGTGTGGGTCGGAGGGGAGCAGAAATTCTGACTTGGGGTTTGCTTCAGCCTCCTGGTGTGGGGCTTTGGCCGAAGGCTGGAGGGAAGCACCGCTGGTGGTGAAGAGCCGCAGGGCCTTGTTCCACTGGGACTGCATCATGGCCTGGAACTGGCTGACCATCTCAGCCCGCTGAGCCTCCAGGCGCTGGTACCTGGCCTTGCACTCCCACAGGTCTTCCCTCTGCTTTGAAAACCTATGCTTGTAGTCCTCAGTGAGCTGCTTCTGCTGAGCCTCCTTCTCGGTCAGATCCAATTTGAACTGAGCTGTTTTGCCAACTCTTTCTCATGGTGGTTGCTTAGCTCCAACATCTGCTTCCTTTTGGGGCCCTAAGGAGCCCGGGCAGGCAGGAGAGGAATGGGTGGGAGGGGAGGGACGAGTAGAGGCTGGCAAGGCGCCCCTTGATGTGAGTGACATTAAGATGGCCACGCCCATCCAGTCACATGACCACCCAGTCACGTCCACCCAGCCAGTCATTAGACAGATCATATTAGTGATCCACGGAATTTAAAATTATGAATTTAGTGGTCCCTGAGGTCTGAAAGGTTGGTGACCCCTGCTTTAGATGGTCATCTAGAAATACAGTAAAGAAAACCCTGTCTTTCAGCTGCCACCTGGTGGTTGCCTGGATAGTTGCAGCTGAGCTCTGCTATCCGGAATGGAAAGAAGAATGAGGAGGCTTGTATAATGACTGTGACTTGGCTGGCATGAGGGATTAGCCTGAAATCAACACGGCATGTGCTGACATACTCTAGTTAGATGTAATTGCCTCGTCTGCTGTAAGGAGATTACAAAAATTCCTGTCAAATGAAGGCCTGGGAGCTTAAGGAGCTCGAGTTCAGTGCCATGTTCTAGACAAAATGCAAGCTTATTAATAGTTGGCTAAAGAGCATCTTTTTTTTTCTGTTTAAAGTGTCTACACGTTTATTTCAGAACCAGTCTAAACAAATGATTGAGGGAAGGCAGTAAGTCCCTGTTTGGCATCCAGGGTTAAAAGCATACTAGGTAAGCGTGATTAGGGACCTACAGCATTTGGAATGCAGATTCCCAGAAACTTTTGATGCTGGCCATGCTGTTCATGCCAATTGGAGTCATAACTTGTGGATACCAGATTTACACACACACCCCTCACCTCCAAGTCTCGGGGAAATGTTTTTGTTGATATGCAATGCATTAATTTGAGAGCAGCACACTAAATTTGTAGTGTGCCATCTACAAATGGTGACAGAGCCCATATAAGAGGGGCACCCCCCCCCTTTCTAATAAAAATAAGAAGTATGGAAAATTGATGTGGCAATATTAGGGGATAGTATAAGACAAAACAATTGGAGAAGATTACAAAATACCATGATCTGAACATCAAAGGTGAAAGTATTGGCCCATTGGGTTTCATACCAAAAAGACTTCTATGCATCTGTGCTAAATCTGTTTTCCATGGCTTTTAAGTGGAGACCTTACTTTTGCTTCAATCTTCAATTACCAATTTGCCTTTGTAGGGGGAAAAAAATATTTATGGATGTTCTTTCTGCCATGGGGCTATTTGCTGCCACAAACTTGCCCAGTAGAGGGCAGTAGCAGCCTTTGTAGGAGCAGATAGTAACCTTGCTAAGGTGGCATTCTGCATCTTCCTCCTACTTAGCTGTGTGATCCGTATCTCCATGGAGAGGAAATCAGTCACTTTCTAAGTTTAGATTTCCCCCTGCTTAGTATTCCCTGCATGCCTTGTAGTGAAGGCACTGAGAATTGCCAAAAAAAAAAAAAAATTGTGGATGCTTCTCTCAAAGGCCTCAGGAGACTCCTATCAAGCTAAAGGTGAGGATGGTTATTCAACAAACTCCAGAAAGTCCCACATCAGTTGTGACACCCCTTCTGCAATTGAGAAGTGCATTTATCCAGGTCCTTCAAATATAATTCATTCATATATATATATTTTTTTTAAAAAAAAGCTGTCTTCAGCAGGTGAAAGCCCAAGCATGTGCTCCAGGTAGAAAATTCAGAACACCAGCAGGAAACTCAGTCTTTCCAGAGGTTTTACTAGATACTTTCCTTTTTTTTTTTTTTTTGTCTTTCATTCAGTCATGCCCAATTCTTGGACACTGCCTGAAGAAGTCCCTGCAATTTGCTTAGTAACGTTTCTCAAAAATGCCATTGCTTCCTTCCTAGAGCTGAGAGAAAATGACTGTCCCAGTCACCTAGCTGGCTTTTTGCCTAAGGCAGGCCTAAAACTCACTCTCTAGCCTGATGCTTTAACCCACTACACCAAACTGGTTCTTGATTCTTAGATGCTTTCAAAAATATTCTTTCATTCACATCTATGGGAAGGATATTTTTAGCCACTGCTGGGGACCCATTTATGTCTATTGAATTTGAAGATACAGTTTGCTGATGGAGATACATTCTTGATTATCGTTAGTATAATACCATTTTCAATATCGACCATGTTGTGTCCTTATATGGGCATCCGCCGGTGGTTGGCTAATTCACCCGCGGGAAGTTTAAATGAATGTCATTGGCCGGCTGACTTGCCGGAGCTGCATATAAGGAGGGCTCGGCAGCTTAGCAGCCAGTTCCGCATGAGCTGAATAAAGTACTGAACGGACCTCTGCTGAGTCGCGTCTTCTTTTCCCTGCGCCAATCTAACAGACCACAAGGTTGTTTTTTTCTTTTTATATTAGGATGGAGTTCGGTTGACTGAGTGGAGCTGAACATTTATTGGCCGGATGCTCTTCCTGACACCTACACAAAGTTTGCAGCAGATATTTACTCTTCGCCCTAATAGAGTAACATCTCTCACTGCCTGGGATTGAACTCTCAACCTCCTGAGTGTGCCACCCCACCGTTCAACTACCAGGTGTGTATCTTAACTGTTTGAAATTTGTGAGATATAATAGTATATATATAGGAAGATTACAAGAAAAAAAAAATCCCAGAAACCATTATCATCTTATTAGCAAGATACATAGACATACTTATTCATTAAAGGAGACAAGATCATTGCATTTAAGAAATACAAGAGGCCACCTGATTGGGCTTTGGTACCCCAAAAAAATCACATCTTAAATTATTTTTAAAAGAGAAAAAATCCCAATAAATGTGTTTATGTGGGATCTAGGTTTGAAGGTAGATATGGGACAGAGGTGGGTTTCAGCAGGTTCTGACCAGTTCTGGAGAACCGGTAGCGGAAATTTTGCGTAGTTTGGAGAACCGGTAGTAAAAATTCTGACTGGCCCCACCCCCATCTATTCTCTGCCTCCTGAGTCCTAGCTGATCAGGAAGAAATGGGGATTTTGCAGTAACCTTCCCCTGGCACGCCCACCAAGCCATGCCATGCCCACCAAGCCACATTCACAGAACCGGTAGTAAAAAAAAAATGAAACCCACCACTGATATGGGATATATATCAAACCTAGATCCCACATAAACAAATTTGCAGTTTTAACATTCTAAGTGTCCAAATATAGTTTGATTTCCAAAAAGAGATTGGAGCTGCCATTACATTTGAAATAAGCAGTTCCAAGACAGGCAGAGGTGTCTGACAAAAAAGTATTTTAAATTTTATAGTGATTTGTGCAACAGTGTTCTTTGTACACTCATCTTTCTGTGGGGGCCTGCAGCCCTTCCTCAGAAAACATGGACACTCCTAGAGGAAAAACAGTAAGGAAATTTAAAACACCATTCCAAGAAATTGAAAACAAAAATTCAGAATCATTCTTCAGAATGCACTAACTTTCTTTCAAGGTAGAAAAAGAACATTTACATATTAGAGGGCAGATTTTGGTCCAATCTGCATGTGTATTATTATTAATATTTACAGGCCATCAATCCCAAGCATTTAGAGTAGTCTTCAGTTCGCACGCATGACTGAATCTCATTTCTCTCCAATGTAAGATAATCACCACCATCACAAGTTTCAGATGGAATAAATGGATATTTTATACCTGGCCAATAGTCTAGCCTGCATAGCAGTTAATCAATCCAAAGTTACAAGGGTCAGTAGCTAGTTAAATGCGATGGTTGGATTTGTAGCTCCTCATTAAAGCAGTAGGCAAAAATTTTCATAGCTAAGCCAACACTATAGCCTTGCCTGAAAACCATAGTCCTATTTTGGGATGGTATAAAAGTACTATATAGAGCAGTATTTTCTGAATGTCTAAGAACTGAAGAAGGTGGCATATATTTTTTCCTACAATTATCTTGAGAGTTCATCTTTTAAAAACTGTGTTGACATGATGGCTTGAGAATTCCTTTTTTTTTTTTTTTGGGATGCTACCAGCCAGATCATGGCAGAAAACTGTACTTCCTATTTAAAGGATTGTACTTTGCATCCAGTTTTGATCACCACATTACAAAAAAGATGTTGAGACTTTGGGAAAAGTGCAGAGAAGAGCAACTAAGATAATTAAAGACCTGGAGTCTAAAACATATGAAGAACATTTGCAGGATTTGGGTTTAGCTAGTCTAGAGAAAAGAAGGACTAGGAGGGACATGGTAGCAGTATTCCAGTATTTGAGGGGTTGCCACAAGGAAGAGGGGGTCTACTTATTTTCCAAAGGACAGGGCAAGAAGGAAGAGACTGGACAGCCATTTGTCTGAAATGGTATAGGGCAGGGGTATCAAACTGGCGGTCCATGGGCCAGATGCATCATGCGCAGGCCACGCCCACTCCAGCTTCGCGAATGGGGAAAACATCACAAAAGACACATTGTGATGGCAATGTGACACTGCAAGTTTGACACCGGTGGTATAGGGTTTCCTGTTTGAGCAGGGGGTTGGACTAAAAGACCCCGAAGGTCCCTTCCAGATTCTATTCCAGTCTATTCTATTCTAGTCTACTCTAGACTAGTCTAGTCTAGTCTAGTCTAGTCTAGACATTCCATCCCTACCCCTACCCTTACCCCTATGCTAGGCTATGCTACACTATGCAATGCATTTTGGCCTTTGATTGGAAGAAGCTTCAAAAAAATGGGCCTTCTAGGGTCCTGCATACAACAAAAGACCTGTGGCTTGCTCAGCCCCTAATTCAGCAGAAGACTGCCCCTCCCTGCTACAATTTGATATTCTTTTTAAGTGGAAATGCACCTTGTGAGTGAAGCCCCACACCCTTTATATCTGGCATGCAATGTTGACACTCATACAAAAGGAATAGGATTTTCATTGTATATAGTCACCATCACTATTGTCACCTTCCAGAACTTGTATGTATACACATTGTTGTGTTTAGGTTATAACTAAGTTGAATATAACAGGACATATTATTTATTATAGGTACTCCTCTACTTACAACTACAATTGAGCCCAAAATTTCTGTTGCTAAGTGAGACAGTTGTTAAGTGGGCTTTGCTCCATTTTATGACCTTTCTTGCCTCAGTTGTTAAGTTAACCACTGCACTTGTTAAATTAGTAACACGGTTGTTAAGTGAATCTGGCTTCCCCATTGACTTTGCTGGTCTGAAGGTTGCAAAAGGTGATCACATGACCCTGAGACACAGCAACCATCATAAATACGAGTCAGTTGCCAAGCGTCCAAATTTTGATCATGTGGCCATGTGGATATTACAACAGTTGTAAGTGTGAAAAACGATTATTAGTAAATTTTTCCAGTGCAATTTAACTTTGAATAGTGACTAAATAAAAGGCTGTAAGTCGAGGACTACCCTGTATTGGGGGGGGGGAATAATGCAGAAAAGGGGGAATTGGTCTGTCATATGCCCCTTACCAGGCCATTTATGACAGCGACTTCACAAAGGGAAGGGAATGCCTAGAAATGGTCAAATGATTAACCACCACGTGTTTTCAATCATGGGATTTATACTTGTGAATGGGAATCTATTTTGCCTCCAAAGAACATCTAATGTAGTGTTTTAGGCTATAATTATAATTAATTTAGCATGCCTGTGATCTTGTACGGTAAGTTCTTTTGGGCTGTCTGCATATAGAGTAATTCTTGCAGACTCACTCACTCTATTCCAAAGAATTCAGTGAAACAAGCAGCAGGAAACCTGCTCTTGAGTGTGTGTGAGAGACGGGGTGGGGGGAGGGAGAGAGAGAGAGGTTAATAGAAATAACTCATTATCAAGGCTTGGCATTTTATCAATTAATCCAGAATGGATAACAAAATCTGTTCCAGGAGGTAAAGTAGATTCTCCCCTCCTGTTTATTTGCTACAGTGTGATTTTTTATTAATTGGTGTAAAAAAACTCAGAGGCTTGAAACACTTGAGAAACTAGTTCTGAGCAGAGTGGGAAGAGAGGTTCTCACTCACTCCCCATGGGCTAGGTGGGTGACTGGCCTTAAAAATACCCAATACCCATCTCAGCACATCCCAGGACAAGGTCTGAAGATGAATGAGATCACAAGCTTGCTGTGAAGGATCCATCCCTTCAGGGCTTGGACAGAAATCAGCCTGGGAATATTATCTTGACTTCCTTGATCACAAAGGTGAACTGGTTGTCCACTACTCTGAGCTATGGAATGATTTGAATGGTTTTCCTTTCATATGTTATATGAAACTAGCAATTATCATTTATTATTTGGTGTGGTTAAGCATGAACCCAGCCAATTTTGGCTTGGTTAACAAAACCACAATTAAAACAATCATAGCTGTGTTGTGTGAACCCAGTTAGTATGCAACCTACTATTGCTGATTTGTATTTATAACATGTTAAGTGACAGGAAATTAATGCTATTGTCTAGTTGTTGAACCACTGGATGTCTTAAGCCATAGGTGTCAAACTCCCAGTGTCACGTTGCCGTCATGTGGCATATTGCGACATTTTCCCTTTTGCGGAGCTGAGGTGGGCATGGCCTGTGTGTGACACATCTGGCCCATGGGCTGCCAGTTTGACACCCCTGTATAAGTATTTAGAATCTGCTTCTATAAAGATGGACTAGTATGTAGTGCCTCTATAGCCAAAGCTAGATTTGAGGCTTCCAAATTCCAAAGGTTTAGGATTAGGCTGCCCATAATGTTCTGCTATCAGGAAACCTACAAATTGTCTCTTTGTTCTCCAAATTAAAAGTAGTCCAGGGTTTTAAAAAATGTTTGATTAAAGAAAGAGATGGGAACTCTGGGATCCCATCCCCCCCCCAGTTTTCATTCACAGACTATGCCTCTTCTTCTGTCTGAAAAAGAGCAAACACAAGAGCAGTAATTCAGATCCAATTTCAACTCAGATCCAGCTCTAGCAATGCAATTCTAATGGGTACCTGGAGTCCCATTAAGGTTTAATAAGGCTTATTTCCAAGCAGGTGAAGATCTCATTGTAATCCTAGTTGCCCAGTTGAGTGAAGAGATATAGCATTCATGAACAGATAACATTCATGCACATGCATTCAATTATATTCCTAGAATGATTTTCAAGATTTTTGTTTAGGTTATTTTAGAAGCACCCTTTTTTAAAAAATTGCATATTAAATAAAAATGCAACCTTGCAAAGAAATTTATAAGGAAGCATAAAAAATTAAACTTGGCCTCCTCTTCCTAACTTAATGAATCCAACTGTGCATATATAAATAGTAACAAAATTTTATTCCCATTTCACCTTATGCTTCCAGCTAAATTTGACACAGATTTCAGGAAAGACATAGTTCAGTTTATTACAGATCATTTGCTCCAGATTCTTCTCCGTGCACCCTGATGTCTATGTTTCTGTGAATTTTGAAAAGCAATTAATAGTTAAAAATTGTCCAACTTACATTTTTGTAGTAATTAACTGATTATAGTTTGAGAACACAGTGCATTCTTTGGTGGATTATGAGAAGTAGGTGATGTTATAATCGTTTAAGAGATTTATATAAGAAAGGGATTTTTCTTATATTGGAAATATATCAGAAATGATGGAAACATAGATTGGAATGTATGTGCAAGAATATGCAATCATATCAATTGACAGATGAATTGTACCAGCTCAATCAAAATGGATTCAGCTGCCACAATTGACCTGTCAATTGATTATATGCCGTCAAGTCCGTGTCAACTTTTAACAACCACATAGATTTTCTCCATGATGATCTGTCCCTAACTTGGTTCTTCAGATTTTCCAACAGTGCATCACTGCCATTGTAACCAATTCTACCTTGTTGCTTCTCTTCTCTTTCTTTCTACCTTTTGAGCCTTCTCCAGAAAGCTAGGCCTTTGCATAATGTATTTGAAGTAAGATAATTTGTACTTTGAACAGGAACTCTTGAGTTTTGCTTGATGAGCCATTTATTTTATTACTCTCCATGGTATTCTCATGGGTCTTCTCCAAAATCAAAGTTCAAAAGTATCAATATTTTTCCTGTCCTGCTTCTTCAGAGTCCAACTTTCAATTCCATAGTGTGGAATGTTAGGATCACTCAACTCTAATCTTTTTGTAGGTACAGTCATATCACAGCATCTGAAAATGTTTTCTGTGGCTTTCATGGCTGCTGTCCAAAATGCTGATCCGCTACATATTTCTAGACTGCTTGTTCCTTTACAAGGAATGGTTGATCCTAAAAGGCAAAAGTTCTCCATTATTTCAGTATCTTCATTGTCAATTCTAAGGTTGATTGTTCTAGCTATCGGTCTTCTTTATATTATATTAAATTTTAGTCCTTTTTTTTTCATTGTTAGACTTAGACTTGGCACAACTTTATTGTCACTTTGAATGCACACTAATTGGCATACATTAAAATAAAATTTCGTTGCATACAGCTCTCAAAGGGTCTCCACTCCAGTATACACTACATAAATGTGACAAAATAAATAAATAAATACAAAATAATGCATATACCCGCATTGTGCTCTTAGACTTTTAGTACTAGGGCTTGTAGACCCTTTGTATTTTCAGTTATCAAAGTAGTGTCATCAGCACAGTGCAGATTATTGATATTTCTTTCTTCATAGCTGAGGTGATTTCCCTCAGACCCTCCTTCCCTCTCATTATAATATCCTTCCTTCCTTCCTTCCTTCCTTCCTTCCTTCCTTCCTTCCTTCCTTCCTTCCTTCCTTCCTTCCTTCAATGTTTGGTTTACTGCAAAAGAACAATTAAATATGGGACAGAATAATTTTTCTCAAAGGTAATATCTGAATGTGTACCTCAGTTCTGTTCCCTGTTGCTGTTTGTCTCAGTAGCTTACATTCCATCGCTGACATTTGCATGGACACATGTGCAATAGGTTATATCTTTCCTTTGCTGTTGAAGATGGTCCAATGGAAATTTTATTGATCTTCTGTATGCCATCTGGATAAGAAAAGATACAGAGGTAAATTCCAAATGCTACATATTACATATAGTTTTTGGATACTTAGATCAGAAATACTCAGATCTGGATGGAATTGCCCAATGCAATAAGCCACTTAATTGCACATTGCAGCTTGTACAGAGAGAGAATCCATGCTAAATGAACCTTGTAATTCAACTAACCCTAATGCTTATACCAGCCATTCAATGATTTTGGACAGAAATATTAATAAGGTTTCCCCACAGCTTCGGGCTATGGGGTCATTGTCCATAAAAGGTCACATCACTCAGCATAGCATAATCATGAGTCAGCACACAGGACCTGTACCAGACCTAATGCTAAATATGCAGAAGCTGAACTACAGAAATGACTGAACTACAATTCCCAGAATCCCTCACATTGGTCATGCTGAGAGTCTGCTCAGAATTGCAGTTTAATAATATCTGGAAAAATACTGTTCACACTTGTTCTAACTTTCAGTCTTCTTATGAACTCTTGTATTTGCATTAAATGTCACATTTAATTAAGCCTCAACCATCTTCCTATTTACCTTTTACCTTTTACTATTCACATTAATCATGAACAACCCGATAATTTAGCTAATGCCTGTGACTGCTTTTCAAGTGATATTTTGGAAAATGAGTCTGAACTACTGATCTGACCTTGACTTGAAAGCTGTTTGGCCAGGTGCCAAGGCACAAATAAATGCTCAGTGTGTCAAGTATTTCTTCGGGCAACCGTCAGCCTGAGAAAAAGCACATGATGTGCTTCTACCCAGATTGTATATGTTTTTTTTTTTTCCTATTCTTAAGTAGGTAGCATTTTGCATTCAGCAAGAGGAAAGTACAAGCAAAATCATTTTAAAAATAAAACCTGCCAGAATATTTGCAGATTTCACTGTTCTGCAAGATCTAAATCAACCTTCCCTGGCCCATTGTCTTCTGAATGTGATTAAACTGTAATACACATTCAGAAGTTTTTATCCTTATCTTTTTCCTTAATTCTCTTTCATAATAAATAAAATTATAGTTTTATATTGATTCTTTTGTTACACATGCATGAAAAAAGACTTCTCTTTAAAGAAGATATTTGAAAGAAATAGAGTTTTTTTTTCTGAACAGAAGCCCGTGACTTTCATTATCATTCTTTTTTTGCCTTCAAAATGTCCTAGTCGCTCTTTCTGAATTGTCTTGTTTCTATCTATCCATTCATGTCTCTTAAATAAGGACTTTCCCATGGATAGATCACATTCATTCACAAAACTGTACAATTTTATCCAGAAATCTTATCTATTTTTTCCAATGGACCAAAGCATACAACTGTTAGCAAGCTATAGCTAGCCAATGCCACATGCTCCCAAACAATCTAGATCAGGGCTAGTGTCAAACTCGATTTCATTGAGGGCCACATCAGGGCTGTGTTTGACCTTGGGGAGCTGGTGTGGGCGTTGCCATGGTGGGCGTGGCCAGCTTGACATTACTCCTCTCGGGGGTGCCTGTGGTGGCCCAAGCACTCTGCCAGTGAAAATGGGCTCCCAAGCTCCGTTTTGGCTGCGATGGCCTTCTGCAACCCTCTGCCAGTGAAAACAGAGCTTGGGAGTGCCACCCGCAGACCTCGCAAGTTCTGTTTTCGGCTGCGACAGCCTCCTGAAACCCTCTGCCAGTGAAAACGGAGCTCGGGAGGATCGCAGGCAGCCTTTCCGAGCTCCGTTTTTCCTGGCAGAGGCACTGCAGGCTGGTCCTTCACTGTTTCCAGGGCGGCCCCGCAGGCCAGATCTAAGTGCCCCATGGGCTGGATTTGGCCCTTGAGTTTGACACCCCTGATCTACATGACATCAATTCATATTTTCTGACATATATTTTAGACCATTCATTCATAGTGAATCCTATCTTTTCACTTCCCTGATTAGATTAACTTTACAAGAATTGGCCACCTACATCACATCTGCTATGTCACTCCCTTTTCTTTTCGTTACATAGGCATATTTTATATATTCATATATGGCAGGGTTCCAAGGAACACCCCCCAACGAAATAAAGCTCTGAGGCCTGAGGTTCCTCAAAGTTCCAATTCATTAGAGATGTCATGTTGGCACATCTGGGAAAACCTGAATCTGAAAGCTTCCAGGTTTTCCACACCCAGCTGACAGTTCACAGCCCTGCCCCACACCCACAAGTTCATCACATTGTCCAATCAACTCTTCACACTCAACTGGATACAATCTTCAGGCAGTCTCCATCAGACACAGGCAAAAGTCCTTGAATACGGAATGTTGTTATGACTAACTTTCTACCACTCCAACAACAACCCCCTCCCAACTTCCCCAGCTAAAATATGTGGCAGTTAAGAAGCAAAAAAGAAAATTGTCTTCCAAAACTGACAATATACACATATACACATATACACACACACACAGCATATACACTATACACACACACAGAGGCACACATGCATATACTTATATATTTGTTATTTCACACACTTTTACCATTTAATTCTCTCATATTCTAAGTAGTAATCTTCTCTCTGCTGTACTGTAGTTATCACCAGATGGGTTTGTAGGTACTGATTTTCACTGCCCAACAAATATTTGATCAATCAATCAAAACTTTTCCATACATAAGTTTTAGTAACATGGAGAAGATGTAAACTAGGCTACCTTTAGATGGCTGGGTAATGCTACTTATAGGAAAGATCTTGAAATAGTAGTTGATTGCATGGGAATATGAGCGAGCAGTATGATGTACCACAAAAAGAAGCACAGTTTTAGGCAAATTAATACCTGTTCTCTCATTTTCCAAAGCGCAGGACACAAAATAATGAATTTAATTTACAGGAAGGCAGATTCCAATGGAACATTAGGAAAACTTTCTAATGAGCATTTCTCAATGAACTTTGAGGAGTGAGCAGGGGATTAGACTTGATGGCCTTAATGGTTCTTTCCACCACTACAATTTTCTGAAGGAATAATAGAGTTCTCAAAAGTTGTTGACTGAAAATGGCGGGTGTTAAACTCCCTAGCACGGTATACCTTCTCTGACCTGCTCATGAAGCTGATTTTACACAGCACTCGAGCAGCAGCACACCTGATGGAGAAAATTACAGAACATTTCTTAATTCAGTAACCTGGACACAATACCTTCTGCCGGTACATCCTAGAGCAGTAGATCCTTTCCAGCTTGGTAGACCGGTGAGGGGGACAGAGGGGATGGCTATGTGCGAGTGGCAGGTGCACAGATGAGGGTGTGCAACTCCATTTGTAATCAATGTTGCTTTTTAAAATTGTGGTTTTATCCTGGTTCTATTTTGCTTTTAATTGTTAGAATCATGTGTATGAGCTGGGTGGCCAGCAGAATAAATAAACACAGAATAAATAAATAGATGCTTTCAACTGACGTGAATAGTAGAATTGAGCATGACAGCTGCCTTGCTTAAAGCTATGGTGTGTCATGTTGCCATTCAAAAGAAATTTGCATGCTGATGATACAAATTATGGCTTGATCAATAGAAACATTCTAAACTCATAGCAATGATACAATGACTGCTGTCAGAAGTTTTATGCCATATGCTTCAACCAGTAGTCCTCAGAATTCATCTTCGTTTTTGTGCATGCATGTTTAAAACCAAAAGAATAAAAACTACAAGACTGAAAAAGAAAAAAAACATCCACCCTTCAATGAGAATAAGAATGAATCAAATATATTTTCTGTCTAAAGTTGTTCAATCAAAAGATGGCAATTATTAAGGTAGGCGCCAAGCAAAGTAACAGTGAATCATAACTTATTTTTCATCAGATGAATTAAAATTCCACCCCATAGCAAACCAAAAATATTACAGACTATGTTGAGAAAAATGTTTTTTTATGTCACGATAGATAGAAGTTGCTGGTAGCTCTGTTGTTTACAATCCAAATATGCACTTGGGTTTTTTCTTCAAATTCCAAGCAATATTTCAGAGCGAGTCATGAATGTTAGATTAAATTTTTGGATCCCAGCTTCTGTTTTCTGTTCTGTGACTTCTGCTGTCTCCATCTCTTCCCAGGTATGCCAAATTCCCGGCCTCCTTATGCTTCACAATCAGATTCATAAAGCTCTACATTAATATTATCAAGAACAATAATGACTGCTTACCTTTATGCCTGCACCAAGGACAATGCAGATACTTTAGCAAAAGAAACCAACAGGGCCATTTACGAAAACATCATTAAGATGACCTTTTGCTGGATACTTAGAACAAATGAGCAGCCTTGCCGAACAAGATAAAGGAGCCATTGGATGCAGTGTCTTCCCCCCACACACAGAGGAGACACTGAATCTTCTAAAACAATAAAACAACAGCAACTTGAGACAAGGCAGATAATTCTAGGAATGAAATGATCTTGGGAGACAGAAGAGAGAGCTGCAAACCGGACAACCAGCATGTAAAATGTATCTCAGTCCATGGAAAGAAAGGAGGCATGGGAAGCATTTCAAAACCCTGTTCCTAGTTTTCTGGAGAGTAAAAGGAAAGAAGAGGAGAAATACTTTCAATCTTGCAACCTTCTTTAATATAACCTTAAAATAAATATAGAGTTAGTCCTCGTGGTTGTGTTTTTGTCTGCACTACCTCGAAGGGCTTACACAGAGCCAGCTGTGTTGTTTTGTCATGCGAAGCTGAAAATCCCTCAATCACATCTCTGATACCTTTTATAGATTGCATTGTCTTTAACTTTGGCTAGAATAGATGTGGATATTATTTGTTGCCATAGCATTTATTTTCACCAAAGCAGAATCTGCTATTAGAAGTGTTGAGCTGGAGATTTAAAGCTTTTATCACTCAAAGCTAGTTGTACATTTTCTTGAGACAGGGAAATTTCCCTTGGGGGCAAACCCAGAAAGAATATATTCTTAGATTCGGATCAATGGGCAATCCTTCTTGTACACTACAATAACAACATCGTTCTATGCAATTATACAACCAGCCGCTTTAGATGAATCAGCTAGACAGGCAACAGGTGACACTGAATTTTGCCAATTACAAGAAGGTAAGTACAGAATATGACCACCACATGTACAAGTAGTCCTCGACTTACAACCACAATGGAGCCCAAAATTTCTGTTGCTAAGTGAGACACTTGTAAAGTGAATTTTGCCCCATTTTACGACCTTTCTTGCCACAGTTGTTAAGTGAATCATTGCAGTTGTTAAGTTAATAACACTGTTGTTAAGTGAATCTGGTTTCTCCATTAACTTTACTTGTTGGAAAGTCCCAAAAGGTGATCACATGACCCTGGGACACTGCAACTGTTGTAAGTATGAGCCAGTTGCCAAAAATCTGAATTTTGATCATGTGACCATGGAGATGCTGCAATGGTTGTGTGAAAAACAGTCACTTTTTTCAGTGCCATTGTAACTTCAGTCACTAAATAAGTGACTTGTAGTTCGAAGTCTACCTGTATATGACTTTCAACTCTTTGATGAAGATGTGGGCTGAAGTGAGGTGGTTTTGACTGATTAGTTTAAAGAGAAATGAGAGATGAACTAATTTACTAGGACACACCAGATTTAATCCTTAATGTTAATCCAACACCGTGTGTCTATAGATGGAAAAGAACTGGGGCATGCTACAGATAGAAAGGAAGAAACTACTATTTTCTCATCCTAAGTGTTTCTTCTTTTTCCACCAGTTCAGCAGAATCTTTGTACTTACACAACTGAGAATCAGTTCAATCAAATGGCTGCTGAAGAGCAATATTAATGCGCATAAGATCTTTATTTTGTAACATTCTGAAAAAAAGATGGCCTGTTTAAATTTTCCTGCTCTGAAACAAACATGATCTTTCTCTTTCTTTCTTTCTTCCTTTCTTCCTTCCTTCCTTTCTTTCTTTCTTTCTTTCTTTCTTCCTTCCTTCCTTCCTTCCTTCCTTCCTTCTTCCTTCCTTCTTCCTTCCTTCCTTCCTTCCTTTCTTTCTAATTTCTACACCACTTATTTCACCTGAAGGTGATGTTAGGCAGTTTAGAAACTTTAAAAACAAATAAAAATCATTAGCACATTGCAGTATGTTTTAAAGGTAGTTCAATGTATCTTTGGTTATGTCTTCGTGGAGAGAATAGAAATTCCAGGTCATAAGCTATTATACTGTTCCCTATATAAGGACTCCAGACAAACCCTTATATATCCTGTCTTGAAGAAATTTCCAGGTAGGAAGTGCAATTTCTATTTAATCTACTCTTCTCAGACAAGGTCTTTGGCATTTAGTCATGCTGGCCACATGACCATGGACCACAGGTTGAGAACCACTGCTCTAGTGAAGGAAAGGGAGGAGAGAACACTAAATTTCAAGAGACATATTGAGAGATCAGTGGATGTGGAACTGGTCCTCCTAGAAGGAAGTGTGAAGGAAGTGTGAAAAGAAAAACCAGACTTCTCCCAATATGAGGGAGAAAGGAGAAGAAATAAATATGACTTGATACAAGGAGTAGATGAAATTTCTACTTCCCATATAAAAGATAATTTCTTCTAGCCTTGTATATGGAATTCTTTTGTACTAATTTCACAATTTTTCTATGGTGAATCAACTTTCTAAACTTTCATAACCTGGGAAATAATTTTCTTCTCTGTGGGAGAATAATTTTCTCTGTGGGAGTACCTGCCCTTTGGAACGAGCTCCCCCCGGAGATACGGAAAATTCCGGATTTACGTACTTTCCGCTGGGCCCTCAAGACTTTTTTATTTCAACAAGCCGGGCTGGCTTAACTTCTCCAATTGTTTAATTTTAATTTTAATTTTAAATGGGGTATTTTAATTGTTGGACCAAATTGTTTAATATATTTTAAATTGCTTTTAAATTTCTGTATTCTATGTTTTTTACCTTTGGCTGTTCACCGCCCTGAGTCCTTCGGGAGAAGGGCGGTATATAAATTTAAATATAAATAAATAAATTTGCCTTGCCTTGCCTTGCCTTGCCTTGCCCTGACAATAACATCTAACAATTTTGTCTGTAAATAGTCTATTCTTCTCTTGTAATGCTATTGACACAAATGAATAGTTCAGGAATTGTGTTGGAAGAATACCATCATGTCTACACTTCAGGCAAAATAACATCAAATGAATGACAGATCAGTGCACTGACTTGTCTTTTTCAGTGTATAGCATGACAATAAACTATAGTAAACAAACTTTTAATTCAAAACCTAGTCAGTTGGTAAACAGAGAATGTATAAACAGCAGAACAGACAAGAAGGTAATAAACCTATCATTTTGCCCAGAATGGGTACTGAATTTTATTTACATCTAAGTTTAACACACATAAGGGATGTGCTGACAGAAACAGGGTAGTTTTTTTTATTGAAAGTGAAATATACTCTGGAAGATGAAAGTTCAGAATTTCAAAGGATATTTAAAATCCTTTCATTGATAAGTACTATACCTAACACTTTTTGTTAATGACTGCATTACCTCAACTAAAATATATTACTCTTCAGCCAGATGTAAGTGTATGATGTAAAGTGTATGTTTGCAATTTTAAAACCCTGAGTTTTTCTAAATGTATTTGAAGCAGTACCTCTTGAAAATCTTTTCCACAATATTTCACTCTTGTCACTTTCCATGCTATATACACTGCCTGATGGGATTTGACTGCTTGTTTGATACCTGCATCAATCTTAATATATTTTCGTAATTTCCTTTGACAAATCTGTTGATGCCATTGATATTTCCTGCATCAATCATTCAAATGAAGTCAAGGTTATTTGGACATTTCCCATGCCTTCACTTATATATTCAGAATATGACCAAATAAGTCTTTTACAACATGTACAGTTTTACTTTTCACTTACCATGCTATAAACTGAGAGCTTTCATTATATCTTTTTTTTTAAAAAATTTGATTTATATGCCGCCCTTCTCCGGAGACTCAGGGCGGCTTACAATGCGTTAAGCAATAGCCTTCATACTTTTGTATATTTATACAAAGTCAGCTTATTGCCCCCACAAACTGGGTCCTCATTTAACCTACCTTAGAAAGGATGGAAGGCTGAGTCAACCTTGAGCCTGGTGAGATTCGAACCTGCAGTAATTGCAGGCAGCTGTGTTAATAACAGGGTGCTTTAAACCACTGTACTACCAAGGCCAAGATCTTGCTTTGTAAACACCCAATAGAGTAGTCCATGTAAAATATGCAGCTCATTCATCCATCTTCCTAGTTTTATTTCTGGGTGGGGAACCTGTGGCCAATTAATTCTGTAACACAGTGGTGGGTTTCAAATTTTTTTACTACTGGTTCTGTGGGTGTGGCTTGGTGGGCATGGCATGGCTTGGTGGGCATGGCTTGGTGGGTGTGGCAGGGGAAGGATACCGCAAAATCTCCATTCCCACCCCACTCCAGGGGAAGGATACTCTAAAGTCTCCATTCCCTCCCCAATCCAGGGGAAGGTTACTGCAAAATCCCGATTTCCTCCCGATCAGCTGGGACTTGGGAGGCAGAGAATAGATGGGGGTGGGGCCTGTCAGAATTTTTACTACCAGTTCTCTGAACTACTCAAAATTTCCACTACCAGTTCTCCAGAACTTATCAGAACCTGTTGAAACCCACCTCTGGTCTAATGGAATATTCTCTGCCAGCATAGTAAAGGATGTAGATATTAGGGCATTGTTGAGTAGAATTACCTAGCCCTGCCTTTTTCCACCTCAATTCGACCTGCCTTTTTAATGTAAGTATGCCTACAACTACCATAATAGGAATAGGAATAAATCAATTGGGACTCTAACTCATCTGCATCTTCTAATTAAACAATACTGTAAATTCAGCTAAAAGTAATTAGGTCTCTGGAATCCTCCCTTGGCTCTAACCCTACAGTAGCAAAACACCAATCATGTAAATGAATGTGTTAACTGCCCAATTGTAGGTCATTTGCCTGCTTTGGAATTCTTAAAACTAGGCACTGGGAGACAAGATTATTCTTGATAGGTGTTAGACTAAAATAACAATTTAGCTATAGTTCCAAAACCCGAGTTTTAAATTAAAGGATGTAAGTAAGTGTAGGGAAAGTGTGATTTCATGCTTCCATCCCTTTACCACTCCACTTAATTTGGGTATATACAATCACTAAAGCTAACCTTATAAATCACACAAATTATAATGACAAATCACAATTGTTAATTATTATTTTTAAAAACTAAAAAATTTAAAGAGGGCTTATAACTCCATCTTCCTTTAGGTTTTTGCATCCTGACCACA